TGGTCTTGAGGTCTCTGTCTTGAGCATGACTATGAAGACTAGCCCTGCCAGACGTCTAGCCCTGCTCAAATACATTTGGTCTGGATGGTTACATGGGTCTTCCCTTATATATACCTCTTTATCCTGGTGCATGGCCTAATGCCTATATCTCACCCATGACCCAGTGTCCTTCTCATGGTATAAACACTTGTTTAAATGCAGACATCACTGTGGCCCTTGTTTGATCTTGTCTAATCTATTCCTATTAGGATTAGGAATCACAGCATTACCCAGTTGGGTTTCCTATAGTGTTCTAAGTGCTGGCTTTGGAGCAAATGGTTGTAAGTTTTATGTGGTCATGATCTCACTAAGATATTGTCACTTTGGCCTAAGTTCCCAGACCCTGCAGGCTGTTGGGGGGTCTTTCAGCTGAATCAAGGAAATTTTGTGTCCAGCTGTCCATAGGCCAGGTGGTTCCCAGGAAGTGACTGCATGAAGCAGATTTGAATGAAGCACACTGAGGAATTGGGAGGAATCTGAGAGCTGTAGACAATGTCAAGCCTGAGGTAGCTCTGCTGGTGGTGTGAGGAAGTCCAGCTACCTTGAAAAGGGATTCTGAGGCAAGATAGAATGTTAAGAACTTGGTATAGCGACATGGTGTGTGTGTCTGTTTACATGAAAAGTCTGTATGAGGCCAATCCAGGAGACAGAAAGCAGATAAATGGTTTTTGGGGCCTGGGGTGAAGGGTGAGTAGGGAGTGACAATGGGTATAGGCTTTCTCTCTCTACTGGTTCTTGCATTAGTAACAGGTTGCACAACATAATGACTGTGCTAAAAATCAGCACACTATATAACGTAAAATCTGCAATGTCTCCCTTCTGCTGGTTCACTTCTCAAATGGCCATAATGGTCAGAGCTGTGCCAATCCAATGCCAGGAGCTAGCAGCTTCTTACTGGTTTCCCAAATAGCTGTAGGTGCCCAAGGTCTTTATTTCATTTTCATTCAGAAATGAAATCTTTTCAGGGTAAAGTATTCTGGGTGGACAGTTTTTTTTTCTCTTAAGACTTGGACTATGTCTTGCCATTCCCTTCTAGCCTGTAGTGTTTCTGATGAGAAGTCAGCTCTGAGTCTAATTGGAGATCCTCTCAAAGTAATTTGGCATTTCTCTCATGTACAATGTAGAATTTATTCATTGTGCTTTACTGTAGTAGTTTGACTACAATGTGTTATGGTGAATATCTTTTCTGGTCATGTCTATTAGGAGTTCTATGTGCTTTCTGTATTTGGATGTCCCTTTCTTTATCTAAATTGGGAAAGTTTTCTAGAATTATTTCACTAATTAGGCCTTCTAATCCATTCTCTCTTTCCACACCTTCAGGAACTCCTAAGACCAGTATGGTGGGTCATTTGAAATTATCCTTTTATATCTGCAATACTGTTTTATGTTTACCAATTTGCTCTTCCTCTTCCTTCTCTTCCTCTTCTTCTTTTTCTCTTCCTCCTCTTCCTCTTCCCCCTTTTCCTCTTCTTCCTCTTCTTCCTCCTCTCCCTCCTCCTCCTCTTCTTCCTCCTCCTCCTCCTCCTCACTTCTTCTTCTTCTTCGCCTGACTGATTGATTGATTGATTTCCACAGTTTTGTCTTCTAGCTCGAATATTCTTTCTTCTTCCCCATTAAGTGTGTTAAGGCTTTCAACCACATCTTTATTTGATCTATTGCATTCTTTATTTCTAATATTTCATTTTGATTTCTCTTTATATTCTCAATTTCATGAGAGAAATTTTCACTCATGTCACATGGTTTTCTTTAGTTCGTGGATTTGCTTCTGATTTCCTTTTAGTAATCCTATGATCAATTTTATGAACTCCTTTTCTGGCATTTCATCAGTCTCTTCCTCTTCACATTCTAATATTGAAATGTTGTTGTGTTCCTTTGGAGTTGGGTCATGGTGTCTTCCTTATTCCCGTGTCTTGAATTTCTGTGTTTATTTTTAGTTACTTGTTAACTAACTTGGAGTTAGTTACTTGTTGGTCTTTTCCTCTGATAGCCATTATCTTTGACCTTTGCCTCTGTGCCTTAGTGAAATGTCTGCACTTTGAGTGAATACCAAGAGGTGTGTACTGGGTATGGCCAGGGACCTCTGGTCAGTGCATTAGGGTGGGGCAAGTATCCAGGGTAAAACCCAAGTTGGGCTTGGTAGGTCTCCTCTTGTTAACACAAAGAAGTGGGAATGGTTCCCTCTGTTGGTGTGATCACTTCCTCATCTCCTCTCCTCCAAGCTGAGGAATGCCTGGTGTTAGCCCCAGTTGCTTCAACACTCATCCAGGATGCCATATGAATGGATTAAATGATCTTCAGAGTCCTCACCTTGACCACAGTTCCAGCTGCAAGACCTGCCCCAGGCAACGAAGGAGCCCTGAGCATGTGGATTCACACCCAATGATTGCTCACATGCCCAGCTACATCCTGCACCCTCTCACATAGCCACCTAGTCCCCACGGTCTCAGCACAAAAGGCTCCCACAGTCACTGTAAGCAGAGGCTCGGCTCTATCCTGCTAGCCTGTCCAATCAACAGAGAGGTAGATATTCCCTGAGCAAGTTCCACTTTGGCAGCTTGAGCTCTGATATGTGTGGAGACTAGGGATGCCTCACAGTCCTATGTGAGTGCCCAGCCACCTGTCAATCCTGCCAGCCAAGCTCAAAGGCAGTAGGGACTTCAGATATTTTCCCTCTGCTAGAATATCTGGATCACACACATATACAAGAACCACTGGCCAGATATACCCTGCTCCCTGTCACCGCCATCAGTACTGCTGAGAAGATGGTGTCTTGTCTCAGCCAGTCGCTGTGCGTGCCCACAAAGGCTTCTGCAGCTGCTGCCCAGGCCCAAATTGATGGCTGCCCATTCTCAGCTGGGCAGTGGCTGCCATTGTGGGGAAGATTAGGTGAGATAAATGTGCCCCCTTTTACTTCCACTGGGCTAGCAGTTAACCATTCGTACTATCTGGTCCCAAGGGGTCCAGTCTGGCACACGCCAGGCTCTCCCTCCAGTTGCTTCACCACTGGTTGCTGCAGTTTGCTGTCACCCTCGTCTCCCAGCTGCTGCCCTCTCTGCTCTTGGCTGCTGCAGACACATGTTGTGCCCATGTTTGTGCTGCACTTCTGCACCCACCTCCTGCACAGGTCCACAGTGTTCCTTTTCTGGATTTCCCATGTGGCTTTCTGTTTAATTCCACAGGTTGTGTGTGTGTGTTTGTGTGTGTGTGTGTTTTACTGTTTATCCCTAGCTTAGCCCAGCACATTGTTCCCTAATCGGCCATCTTGAAATCTCTCCCAACTGAAATGATCTCCTGGTCCTGAGGAGAATATCTTGACAATCATTGTGTGTGTGGGTTTTTTTTTTAAAGATTTATTTATTTATTTCAGAGTCAGAGTTAAAGACAGAGATGCAGAGAAGTGTAGAGAATATTATCTGTCTGCTATTTCACTCCCAAAATGGCCACAATGGACAGAGCTAGGCCAATGCATAGCCAGTAGCTTATTCTGGTTCTCTCACATGGGTGCAAGGTCCTAAGCACTTAGGCCATCTTCCACTGCTTTCCCATGACATTAGCAGATAGCTGGATCAGAAGTGGGGCTGCCAGGTATTAAACTGGGGCCCATGAGGAACGCTGGTGCTGCAGGTGGAGGCTTAACCTACTATACCAGAGCACCGATCCCAATAAACATTGTTTTACGTATCTAATAAACTGTTATTGAATTTAGATTTTCTTCATATGTCAGCTATACAATTCTTCCCTGTGTGATTTTACCATGTCAAAGTTGAAGGTTTCTCATTGCAAAATTAAGATAGTTTAAGAAGCTACTCACATGTTTACCCTGAGGATTAATTGTATTAATGTGAATAATACTTGAAGAAGTCAGACTGGCAAGTTACAAGCATTCAGTCGCTGATCGTTATTTTTATAACATTATTTTGTATTTAATTGCTAGAATTATCACTGACAACCCTATTTACGGATAAGGGTTGAAGATAATTCAGTAATTGTGCATTTTCTGGAACATTTGTTCCAAGATTTTCCCATTGAAGTAATGGGAATCATGTAAGTCACTAAAAATCTTTAATTCTGTAGACACCAGAGTTACTTTTTGTATAGTTTTATTATCCAGTATAGGTTGAAATAAACGTAAAGATCATTCAAACAAGCTAATTAGTTTACTAAGAAATATTGAAACAAGAAATCAAAGTAATAATATGAGTTCTAGTGATGAAGATTCAGTTGGCAACGTATAGACATTCTTAGGGTCAAGCGTATGTACATGTTTGCATGCATGTTCCCAAGCAGGGACTCCAGCCAAGACTCACGGCCAGGAGGACGACAATGATCTGCGGATGGCCTGCGTTCCCCCAGGAAGAAGTAACTGCTAATCTAAGATGCAGTCCGACTGACACAGGAGCCCGGCTGGGCAAAGAGTGACAGCAGAAGACTGCAGGGCAAGGACATGAGCTTCTCATGCCACATCCCCACAACATGACCCACAAAGCAAATGCGAGGCCTCGGGACTGCAGCTGACACAGCCCCTCGGCCCTGCACGTCCTCCGTGGTGAGCAGCCTGCAGAAAACGCTGTCTGCATGAACAAGCTGCCCAGCCCTGCCCAGACTGCACAAGTGCAGCTGGTAGAAGAGACTCTGGAGATCGGAGTCATTTCTCCCTTCCTGAAAAACTCTGTCTCTCTTCCCTCCACTCTGCGGGTAGAGTATTTGAAAAGGTTCCTTTGATTAACGAAAAGAAACAAAAACACATGGGTGGAAAATCCTTTCTGTGTGTGGTTATGAATATGCATCTCCACAGTCTTCTACACGCACAGGCACATGTCCACTTTCCAACACACTCCAGTCCATACACAGCCACTCAAATAGAGTCATGAGCAAACGTGTCCACACCTGTTGAGACATGGTGACGAACATCTGCTCAAAATCTCTATAGGCATAGCGCAGAGAGGCTGAGAACTCCTTACCTCATGGTTGCTGAGAAGGAGGCAGAAGTCTGCAGGTTTCCTGAGCCGGACTGTGCCCTCTGAGACCTGGCCCGTGTGCGTTGTGGATTCCACATAAACTGAGCACTGCAACAGGTACATATAAGCAGCAGGTGTTGTAAACTGTAGGCGTATCCTTACCAATCAACATTGGAACTGAGAACAGAAATGAAACTGCAACAGGTCGATTTCCTGTTTCTGAAAAAGAAACTTAAATGTTGAGTGCTTTCTCTGTCCTCTTTTGAAAACTGAGAGGAGACTGATGAGAACGTTGTACTCGTGTACCATTGCCTCTTTCCTGTCCTTGCAGAGAACTGGAGCTGGCAGATGCAGGTTAGGGCAGAGGCCTGGGAGCCTAGAGCAGGGGACCATGATAACCATGGGGTGACCTTGGGAAAGCTGCCCCCAATCTGTGTACCTGTTTGCTTACTGGAAGCAAGCAGTTCTCATTTCACAGCACAAGAGTTCACAAAATTCTCATGAAGTCTTTTTGTTTTTAATAATTTTTTGTGTGTTTTGAAGATAGAGTTACTGAGAGACAGAGGCAGAGAAGAGGGATCTTCCATGCGCTAATTGACACCCAAGATGTCAGCAATGTCTGGAGCTGCGCTGAACTGAAGCCAGGAACAAGGCGTTTCTTCCAGTTCTCTCATGCGGGTGAGGGACCCCAGGTTTTGGGCCACCTTCTACTGTTTTCCCAGGCCATAGCAGAGAGCTGGATTGGAACTGGAGCAGCCAGGATTCATACAGGTGCCAAAATGGGATGCCGGCACTGCTGGCAGTGGCTTCCCAAGCTACACCACAGTGCTGGCTCCTAAATGGAAGTCTTAACTCTCATTTGCTGCCATTCTGAGAGATGACATATTATTGATTCTACTATAACTATGCATACCCTGCTAACAGTGATTTTACTCCTTATTAGTCATAGGAACAGAGTGCATGTCTGTGTCAGCAATGTTGAGTCTTCAATCAGAACAATTTTGGCCTTAAGAAAATGCATTTCTCATTCTCATTGAGTAGAGCTTCGTGTAGCTGTGTAGGTTGATGTAACTCTATCTGCATGACTACCATAGCTGTGCTCAGTCCTTGGGGCCCCAGTACCCTAGCTGGGTCTACCTCTACCAGGCACCTGTCACCTCCTGTGGCCATAAGAGGTTGAAAAGAGGCTGTGCTGAGAATGGGATCCTGGGTAGAGGTTGGTTCTTTTTTTTCCGTGAAATATACTTCATTCTTTTAGAGTGCTTAATGAGTTTTCAACAGATTCAATGTAGTTCATAAATACAAGACTAAGAATATAATAACTCCCTTCCTCACTCCCTCCACTCCTGCCCTTCTCTCATTCTCAGCCTCCCTACCCTTTCTTTTTCTCATTTTTTGAGATAAAATATTTTAAATTTATGTTACAGGAAAAAGGCTTAATGTTTCACTGAATAAAACGTTTAGCAGGCAAGAAACAAAAAGAAATAGAAAAGCTCTGTTTCCTGAGAGCACAATGCCTTTGGATGCTTCTCGATGATCAGTTGGGTTTCCATTTCCCAGTGCATCAGGTATCACGTAGAGAAGGGAACAATACATTTATCCAGTCATTGCTCTGAATTACACAGCACTCCTAGTTCTAGGTGTGTCGCTCAGGCGGATTCATCATTCAGAATCCTGCCTAGTATTTGCTGGAAATAAATGGACCCAGAGTGACACAGGAAAGAGTGCCATTAAGCAAAGTGGAGGCAGCTGTGTGTGTGTGTGTGTTTGCATGCGACATGCGACACACACATTAGGGTTCACGGATGGGGAAGAAATTGGATTTAGAGAAATGGAATCTAAGGAAGAGAATCAGCCTTGGACTCTGGGTCCCATCCTAGGAGTCTAGAAACAACTCTTTGAGTGGCTGAGCCTCTCACCTCTGTGAGCTCGGTTCCCTGCTGAGCCGAGGATGATACAGGACACCATAGTGTCTCGTGGGGACATCTTAGCCTCAGTGTGGACTCTTGGCTTCAGCGGATGGCAGAAAATGTCCCAAACCAGCACTGTGAAAGCAAGAGACTTTTGTTAATGTGATCAGATCAGGTGACTCCTGCCATGGCCCTATGGGTTATTTCAATTCCTCTTTCCTGTGCATTGATAAATATATGTTAATATGTGGGCTACATATTCCCTGTATTTCCCCAAAAGGGACTGTGATTCCCGGAGACCAGGAGTCCAGCTCTCTTCAATCTGTAGATGGTTACTTCTGCAGGTGTCATGACAATTGGAAGTTATCACAACAAGAGAAGGAGTGATATGTGCACTGTGCTAATATATTGCAATGGATACAACAAGGCTGAAGGTCAGGTAACAGTGACTGGGGACGCCATGCTGGATCCAATGGTCGGCTACCCATCTCTAGTCTACCTCTGCTTGGCTGGGCTGCAGTCTCTGCAAGACTTCATTTCTTTGTCTGGTTCCTGTCAGGTGGGGCTTGGTGTTGCCACGCCCTCCCTGCCTCTGGTGCAGTGACTGCAAGACCATGCTTTGCTGTGTGATCCTGGTGGGTGGGGCGGGGCCTGCCATCTAGTATCCCTGGGGTGCAATTTTTGCCAGACCACGTTTGCTGTCTGCTTTCCGGTTTCTGGCATGTTGGGGTTCTCGGTTGTGACAGGCAATCTCAAGTTTATTCAGATGATAAAACAAGAGATTTTGTATGGATTAGCGGATCCCAGTCCTCCCTGCACTTTAGAATCCTCCAGGGAAGTTCTAAACACAGTACTAACTAGACTGCATCCCAGGCCAAGCTGCCCAAGGCCAGATGCACATGCAGTCTCTGCATCCCAAGGACAGGCCTCTGCATGGACGGCTGGGCTGGACCTCAGCACAGGGTGGTGTCTGCTGTCTTCTGCACATCTGAAATCCTGTGATAAGCTGTCTGGGACTTC